GGGTAAGGGGGGGGGGGACGATATATGTAGTCATACACGGGGCCACTGTAAGGGCGCCACAGCAGCAGCAGAACGTGCCTGGGGGATCTACATACACATGCTCGATAGAGCCTTCGTGATGTGCCACAAGCGGTGTTCCAAAGCAGGCAGACAGGCAGGAGGATGCGGGTACCCGTTGAATATTTCTGGAAGACACGGCTTGGACGCAGGAGGGCAGGCTTTAGTCTGCAGGTTGCCAACACACACGAACTTTCCGACCTCTACACTCACGACCTCCTCTCCCGTACTTGATAGGCTAGCCTGACAAAAAAAAAAACACGAATTTTCCTCGTAACAGATTACTAGATTACTGTTGTTCAAAGACACATGCCACCGGAAGATGCCATCGCTGCTTGGCTCACCTGGTCCACATGCTCGTACTCCCCGCTGCTTCTTCGGCGCGGCGACGCTCTCGGCTGCTGCTCGCCGCTCCCACCAGGGACGTCCCAGCTTCTCCTCCGGTTGTCCCTCGCAGCACGGAGCCGTTGGTTCTCCGCCCGCTCCGCCCGGAGAGCATCCTCTAGGAGATGCGTCTGGATCGATCGGTGGGCCGGGATAAGATAATAAATGAACAGATACTATCACGAATATCGGAGGGGTCAAATGGAGTGGGGTCTGAAAACTGTAGGGCCGCATAATACGTGTGTCGGTTGGTTGTCCCATAATTGGGACTCTTGTCTTGTGATTGGCTATGAACATCGATTGGTTCTGGTTGTCAAGAGACCATCGACGATACCTCCTCTCTAAGCTACTGGCTCTAATGTTCTTGAAACTTGAAAACTATTTAGAGGGAATTCGCATACTTCCACTCACGCAACACTCTCTTGCCAAAAGAAGAAAAGTGCAGACTGGCGTCGAGAACAGGAGGGATGGAAACAACAAAACCTTTCCGCCGCAAAATAGTAGAAAACAAACTGGGTCGTTGAGCCCCACAGCTAGCGCAGAGAGTTGCGGGTGCGAAATACATCAGCGACCGTCATTGCATCCTCGTGCGGACAACCGCCATTCTCCTCGTACTCCTCTCGTGATCTCATATGATTCCTCCCCAACTTGTGGCATCAACGCTTCCTGACGCTATCCGATGCCAGTCATGCGTGCGCGGAGCTGAGGATAACCAGCTTCATCGGCAACGGCCGCTCACCGCAACATGTGCAGTCTAAGCCAGGCCTACTCCACGGTACATGTTTCCACTCACGTGTTTTCTCAACTTGGTCTCGCTCTCCCCTTCGAGGCTGGCCCAGTTCTCCCGGTCCTTCGCCCTCTGTGCTTCGACATCTCGCACCTAAACAGCACAACACAAGCGCGTGCAGCAGCAGCAGCAGCAGCAGCAATAGCCGTCAATGGCGAAGCCCTCGTAATCAACTCCTGTTATTTGGCCGGACGCTGGCCGACGTGATCGGTGATTGGGCGATGTTCCCCGATGGTGATCGGTGATTGGACAATGTTTGCCCGAGGTCGTCGGTGATTGGTCAATGTTTACCCGAGGTGATCGGTGATTGGACGATGTTTGCCGGAGGTTGTCGAGGTGATGGGTGATATGGCAATGTTTGCCCAAGGTCATCGGTGATTTGGCAATGTTTGCTCGAGGTGATCTGGAAGGCATCGGTGATTAGGGATTGTTTGCCCGAGGTGATTCGCGAGACGTAAATGGTCTCAGTACGTTTGCTCCATGGTGATCTGAAAGACATAAATGACTAGGCTATACCTTCATGCTTCAGCAGTAGTGTTCAATATGAAGGCGTACAATACGGTCAACATGAGGTAATAGCACCACTGGTTCACGAAGCGGCTTCCGCTGATGCGAGCACCGCCGCTTTCTGACTTTATGGCCAACACCGACCTCCGTCGTAATAGAAGCTTACGGCTGCCAGCGCCGCTGCCTTCTTTAATGCTGATGAAGATAAACCATCTTGCGTGGTACACAATACACATCAAAGAACCGACGTCTGCTGCTTCCACTATTTACTACACTCCGGTGAGACTCTTTGCAAAGAACATAATTCGCCACCAGCTTCGACAGAAGTAGCGTTTGTTGATTTGCTTGGTGGAATACCTGTGCCTGGAGCTCCCTGCATTTGGCCTCCAGTCCAGACAGGGCGTCCCCCGCAGCCCGTGCCCTCTCCTCCGCCTGTGCGCGGTGCTGCTTGGGCACGAGAACACGCGCAGGTGGCAAGGGTTTGGACAAGAAGGAGCGTTTACTGCTCCTCTCATCTCACTGGACGGGGGAGCGAGCCACCCGGACGCGAATCGGACAGCCGGGGGGGCGTAGGGTAAGGGAGAGCGTACTCTGATGTTTTGCATGCCTTAGCGGTTAGATCATTTACCATGCGTCCTCGAGATTTGTTCCCACAGGACCTATCACCGATGGCCAATCGTTCCTTCCTACTTTGCCAAAGGCGGCTCAAAAATGTCTTCCCCAGTCTCCCTATCCTACCGACAACACTTCCCGCCTTTTCAACGCACTTCCTATGCCCCATTACAGCTACCGTCTTCTCCTGGCTATTCCATGCTTCGAATAATCTCCCTGTCTTCTACTTTTCCCAGCTCAGTCATGTACACTTCCCTCTCCTTCTTGTACAGGGGGG